TGGGAAGACAATGTTGTCACTAACAGGGATAAGGAAGTGAGGAGGGAGAAATGACGAGTTCAGTTTTGAATATGGAGATTTGGAGGTACCAGTATGGTATTAAGGTATTAAGAGGCAGCAAACAGTTAGAAATGGAGAACTGGAGTTCAGGTGTAAAGATACAGATTTAGAAATCATCTGCAAAAAGGTGACAATTGAGGCCATGGGAGTAGAGAATCACCAAGGGCAAGAGTACACTGAGAGGAGAAGGCCAAGGATAAGAGGAGAAACCAGGAAAAAAGGCTGAAAAGGAATGCTCATAGATGCAGGAAAACTAGGAGAAGAACATTCCAAAACAAGCAAAGCTACTGAAAAAAACCTGTTACCGAGACCTTACCAAAACAAATACGCACAGCAAAAAATTTAAACAGGCTGCAGAGAAGAATCACCAAAATCGAAAAATACATCAAATACTCATTTTCTAGATTATAAGTATTAAAACAATTACAATTTTCATTTACAAAAAACATTCAGTACTTCTAAGAAATGAGCAAAAAAGTAAAAGCCTCACAAACAGCTTAGTGGAAATACTTCAATACAGTTGAAGTATTAAAAAAAACTGAATACCTTTCAAAAGCCAAAAAAAACCCAAACCTACATTTAAATGAACTCCTCAGCCCTACATATTCCCCAGTGCTATCCTAGAGATTCCATCTATGGTTTGTGGAAAAATTTCAAAGGTAGATCACATAACTCAAATTTATATCCTATCCCGTAACAGTCATTAAATAGTAAAAGGGCAATTGCCTCCTTCAGGAAATCATACATACATCCTTCCTCTCTTTTCTTTTTCTTTCACAAGAACGTGTAATCTTTCTTTTCTCGTTCATTGTTCAAATCACAAACCTTTACTCGTGGCACCAAAATGGATTGTTGGAAGTGGTTATGTTGTCACAAACAAGATTATAATTTCAAACAACAGTAAAAAAAACACAAGTATTTTTAAGTAAAATGTTTTCAAACTCAATGTCTAATAAAAAGAATGAAAATTAAAACATTATATCAAACATAAGGCAAATTGTAATTTCTCATTTGGCATTTTTAAATTTTAACAATGCACTCTTGTGGTTTTAAAAATATTACTATATTACAAGAATTAGCAGAGTATCTTACACAAAGTGGGTAGTCAATAAAAAATTAATGATTTGAAGCAACTATGCTCTCTTTCTCTGTTCATCTCAAGCACAAAAACTAAGTGTCAACAATTCTGACATGTCGGAAACACTACCTTAACTTTCACCAGCCTTTTCACAGTCTTAATCTTTGCCTCACAGAAGGCACCTCGGTACTTGGCACTGACATCAGTCCCCACTGTCAGGTAGGCAGGCTCATCTGCTGCCTGGTAAAGAGAAAATATAAAGTTAAAATATAACTGCAAGGATTTCTGTCTAAAGACCAAATATATAAAATATAAGTAAATAATAAAAACCTTTTAAAATGTGCCTACTCTTTTCTATATTGAATACTACAGATTCAGGTAAAGTACCTCTAAATTGAACCATTTTAAAACAGTTATTTCTTGTGTTATTACAAAAATGATCCCTTAAAAAACTTCTATCACGGCCCCAATCATAACATGCCCTGTAATTTTAAGTGGAAAATATTAAAAGGGAGTGCATTGCCATTTTTTTCTCCAGATGTAAAGAGTCAAAAAAAGTTTACAATATGCCAAAAGTTTAAGAATTCAGGAGAACATACATAGTACATTACTCTTAGGACTATATAGTTAAAGCCTTGAAATGGTCTATGTAACTTTTTATTGTTTTGACACTCTACCTCTAAATTAAAACTATTAAATTAACACCATAAACATATCAGCAGAGTTTTAACCAAATATTCACCATGTAACAATAGACATAACAGCTGTAAATAAATGAATATCCATTCAACCTACTTTAAAATTGAGAATATTATTTAGTAAATACTGTGTCTGAAAGCTGAAGTTGAAATGGAAAAGTCACACCAGCTGATAACAGAAAAGTAAACTCATGCTCTTACACTTGTAGCACTAAGGTTTTTGAATTAATACTGCCGGTGGAAAAAAAGAAGCTGAATCAGCAAAACAAAACAAAACAAAAACAAAGAAATAGATATTTCATTTTACTATAAACTCTAACCCTTATGCAAACATGCTCTCGTTTTCTCCTTTATACGCAAAAATTTTATGAAAGCTTTTTCTTCACAAAGCTATCTATATGCACACACATTTTAAAATAGTTGTAGTATACTGTTTAAGTAGGAAAATAATTTATTTTCTCAATTAGTTGCTCCAAACAACATTCACATTTGCTACATGTCACCTTATTCGTTTGTTAAATTATATTTACCTTCCTAAAGTTTTAAACTCTGTAATATTTGGAGCATTTTTCAAAACTTGCTGTCACCTTTCTTCCTGATAAAAATCACAGCAAGCATTAAGAATTTAGGAAGGGTAAGGTTTCATAAATGAATAAGGAAATAAATCAATCATGAGTTTGATGAATTAACTAATTTTAAAAGCATATAAATTAATAAAATTTTAGAACTGCTTCTGGCAAAGAAGTGTAATCAGGAACATTTTAAGCTATCTCATTATAAAATGCCATTTCTTTCCTATCATACTTTGAAATGTTCCTTGTTGGAATTATTTTGGAAGAATCTTTTTCATTAAGAAGAGTTTAATAATATTTATTATATGGACTGAGCATTAAGCTTTTTTTAATTCCACCTTATAGATTTGTGTAATGCATGTTATTTCTAAAAATCTAGAAAAACTGAAACCTCTCTCCACTAGGCTACCCCCATCCCATTCCACCTCCGCACACATTCTTTGCTCTTTGGGGAAATGGTCAAACAAAAATCCCCTGACACTCTTCTGTACTTCTGCAAAGGCTGCTGTCATTAGCGTTAAAAGAAAAATACTCGCCCGAAGAACAACAGCTCAGAATCAGACCCCTCTGCACGGAGTTAGAATTCCCGGGCCTTAGAAGGGGTCGAGGACTGCACTTCATACTCACTGATCGCTTCCAGCCCATTCAATAGGTACTATTTTTCCGCCCACCCCTCAACGACTGACAAAGGAATAAAGTTTACGTACACATACATAAACACACACACATATGTCTATTTTTAATTCTCCGAACAAAAGTCCCACTACGGAAAGCTCGAGAGCAGGGGAGGGGTCAGGATGACCCAGAAGGGGCAGGCCGGCCCCTCTCCGGCGGGAGGGCCACGCTTATCCCGTTTACCTTCATTTTGGGGGGCGATCTGAGGGGTTCCAGCTCCAAGGGAAGTCTCCGGCAGCGCTGGATGCGTGAGGGAGGAAGAGAGAAGTGAAATTAACCAACAACAGCCCGAGAAGCGTCCGAGTAAACAAGCCCGGGCGGGAGGGGCACAGCCCTCGCTGTCCCAGGTCCGAGAGGAAAAGCAGAGGCCCGAGGAGGGGGGGGAGCGGGAGGCGCCCCCAAACCAGCTTTCATGCCGCCTCTCGGCGGACTGCCCTGCCTCCGCCCCTCTATCCTCTTCCACCGGAGGAAAGTGAAGTCGGGGCTTCGTCCGAGTGCCGCCGGCGCCGGAGGAGGGCAGGCAGGGCAGCAGTTTCTATTTCTCGGGCTCCCCGGAGGGCCAGTCTCCAGGGCGGTCCGTGTCTCCCTCCGCTCGCCCTCTCCCGCCTCCGGCCCCCCCTCCGCCCGCTCCTCGGCCGCTCCCCCCTCCCTCCCCTCCCGTCCCCTCCCCCCGGTGCCCGCGGTGGCGGCGGCGGCGGCGGCGGTGGCGGTGTGTCACGGCGCCATTGCTCTGCCTCCAGCAGCTCTGCACCATGTCAGGCAGGAGAAGGGGCTCCGGGTCCCAGAGGGGCAACAGCCGCCCGCGGCCCGAGGAAAGGAGAAAGGGGGAGAGGAGGAGGAGGGGGTGGGGGGTGTGAGGGGGTGGAGAAGAGGAAGGGAGGCAGCCGGGACAGGGTGTGGGAGGGGAGGAGAACCGCACAGTGGCAGCCACTGCCTCCTCCCTTCAGCCGCCTCAACTTTTTTTGTGCCGCTCCGAGAGGCGCCGGTCGTCCGGGCCCCCGCCCCGATCCCTCTGGTCCAGCCCCCGAACCCATTAGAGGGAGAAGTGCCGCAGAGTTGGGACTCCTCTCCCGGGAGCAGCCCTGCTCCTCACTCCGCCGGAGCAAACTTAGCGGGGCGGCCACCCCCACAGCCATTTTACCCCGGGAACAGCAGAAGGGGTGGGAGGAGGGAGGAAAAAAAAGAAAATAGGCAGCAGCGGTTCCCGCTGCTGAGGCTTCTCCTCCGCCACCCCCACCCCCACCTCCACCTCCAAACCTCTAAGTGCACCGGGACTCCGGGCAGCAGCACCAGCTGCTACTGCCGCTTCGCCCATTCAACAGCCCCCGCTCCTCTTCTCCCCACCTACCAACTGCGGCTCAAGTACGCGCTGTCAGCTCTCGATCCCCCCAGCCACACTGACCCCAGCGGGCCCCCGTCCGGGCAGCACCACTCCTGGCCGCCGCGGCAGTTCCTGCGCCCAGTCCCCCGCTCGCCCCGATTTACTGCCACAATCCACCAAATAACAAGCTGTTGAGCAGACTCGCTCCTACACGAACTCCTATTGGACCCTCATGACGATGGAGCACCCGTCCACGCTCCTCATTGGGGCTCGCTACCCGCCGTCCCGATTGGATATAACGCCTTGAGTGCACCGATTGGTAAGAAAAGCAGCAGGTAGGAAATGTCCCACTTATGATTGGTTACGCGACGAGTCAAATATTATTGGAGGAGGTGGGAATTGAGTCAGTAGATCCTGAGACATGATTGGTGACGATGACTCCGGATGTGCTTGAGTGAACACTGATTGGTGAACTCGGGGGTCAGGAAGAGCGGCCCAGAGCGGGGATTGGCAGTGGGTGTCCCATGGAAACGGAACTCATAGCTGCGGAGAGGGGCTTGCACCGGGGGGCGGGGCAGGGATTATACAAGGCGCCTGCGCTAGAGCCTGTTGTCGGCGCCATTTTGTCTCGGCAGCCGTGGTAGTAGCTCTTTCCCATTTTAAGCTTCGCGAGGAAGGGAGCTGAATCTTTACCCGGTTGATTCGTTCTCGTGGACTAGGCGTTCACCTTCCGTCCCGAGTGATAGCACAGTGAGTGACTGAACAAATTTGGGTTCCATCCACAAAGGTCAACTGAAGGCTGCGGTTGCCTGACTGGGGGTGGGGGGGGCCGGTGTGAGAGGGGATGGCGCAGCAATAGCGGCACCCACACCGGAAGTGAGGGGGCCTCGCGGCGGCCCCGGCCGAGTGAGTTCCTTGCGGGGTGGGTGGGGGGAATGAAAGGGGGGTGGGGACGACATAGCCCTTCTCTCCCGCCGGAGAGGAGGGGGTGGAGTTTGCTACCTCTCCCGTAGCTGGGCCATCCACTCTTTTTCTCCTATGTGGGTGAAGAAGGTGTGTGCTCGACTCTGGCGCTCCACTCTCCTCACCATATCTTGTGTGCTTCGCTTGCGTCCCGGATTCTCGCGCGAAGAGGCCAGGGTTTGACTTGTTTAAACTTGAAAGAAGTTATTTTTGCCAAGGCCTCCCTGCCTAGGAAGAGGGCGTTTCCACCCGAGCGTTGAAACCGGAATCTGAAGAAGGCCCCAGGTCTCAAGATTCAAGGAATTCTTCTTCTCACTTTTCCCTGATAGTTGCTAACCCAGGGTCACACTGTGTAAAACCATAATTCGCCTTTTAGATGTAGAGTTTGTATTTGACAGGAACGTAGTATGTTCAACAGTCCTCCGAAAACCATTCTCCAGGAGGTACGGTGACCATTGATTGAGCGTTATGGAATGGCTGTCTTACATGAAAACATTCTAAATCACTTTGGCTTAAATTTAATAGAACGTTAACTAGACGATAGTAGTTGTTTTTTAAAACCTTAAGTAATGACGAATCTGAGATTGGGTTGGAGATGAGCACAGCATTTGGATTTTAAATTTTAATTAGGAAGAAAACTTGTTCAAACTATTCATCTTCTAGATAAAGTGTATATTATTCCGTAATTGAGTAGCTTTTTAATGTAAGACTGTGACATATGCTAAACTGTATTTGCTAAAATTTAAAAGGCTTGGGGTTCTAAGGAGTTCACATCACTGTTTATTCTCACAATATCCCTAGTTGGCTTTAAACTATTTTAGGAGAGTCAAATTTAGTGAGATATAAGTGCTGTAATAGTTTACTTCTCTCAATTGTTATTTTGCAGTTTTACTGTAAGGATCTGTAGATTGGGTGAACATCAGAAAGTCATTCAACATTGTTGCAGAGGTGAGTCCTCGTATAATCCTGAAAATGTTTAGAATGAGGGGAGGGGCTAGAGAGAAGACCTAGAAATGAATTTTCATGCCTAGTCAGAAAACTTTTGAGGTAGATTGTGATGTATTATGGAAAGAAGGGTGAGAATGGGTATTGTGCTTTTGTTTAATAGGCAAAGATGAGGTTGCTTTGGAGTGTGGAGAATTGGGTGCAGAAGATATAGCAAAAGTAAGCATAAAATGAGTTTGGAGAGGTTCAAGTAGGCTGCTTTCAGTAGAGAAAATAGTGAGAGGTAAAGCTAGAAAGGTAGGCTAGAAGCCAGATAATAGAGAACCTTTCATTTCAGGTCAAAAGTTTAAACAGAGGGTTAGAAGTATTTTAAAGTACCATTCTCAAGATGGCACTTCAGGAAGATTGATCTGTTGGCATCTAGAAAGATGCTTAAGAGGTGTTGGAGTCTGGAAAGTGGGTAACAAGTTAGGAAACTATTGCAGTAATCTAGATATAAGGCATGGATCAAAAGGGAACCTGGGAGAGAGACATTTGAAGAAAGAACAGGCAGACTGCCACAAACGACAGATTTTGAGCCTTGGTTTTTTTTTTTTTTTTTTGAGAAAATGATGATTCTCTTTACTGTTTAGCTTCCATTTTGGGCTTCACATGTGACATTTTAGTATGAATGGAGTCCCTTTTGATATGTCTTCTAAGGGATTTTTTCCCAATAAAAGCAAATTGTAATCACAGGAGCAGAAATATTTTATTTGTTTTCAACTTTGTAGCTTTGCTTTCCATAGCTTATTTGCATTGTGAATTGTTAATGCAAATACTTAATATTAGTAATCTTCTCAACTACTGATATACTTTCTTTTTGTCCCTCCTTCCCTCCATACCCTTTATGGCTCAGCCAGTGAATGTAGAGGATTAGCAAATTATTAATATTAGTTTGAGGAAAATGTGAATAGGGAACTACAGCTGCCACCTTCCATACTGACTACCCCTCTTCATGTTCATTCATTCAACAGCTGTTAACTGTGCTATCTGTGTACAGTGTTCTGGGTACCAAGTTGATTATAAGATTTGATCGCATGAATATCTTTTAACTTTTCTTGTGAAGCAGGAGTTTATATTGTAATACATTGAAACTCTATTTTTGCCTCTGGTCCAAAAAATATATACTTAAAAAGTATCCCTGTCAGTCACATTGCTTGTGTTATGTACTGCTTACCATCAGAAAACCCTTCTACATCAGCTATACATTTACTAGATTGTAGTCTTGCACACCAAAATCAGTTGTGATGTCATAAGTGGTATTGAAATTTTTATTAGCATTAGAATTTAGCAAAAAGTCTTAAATTTGCTTTTTGGTTTTTTTTTTTTAAATAATGCTATAAAGTACTGTTATTTCCATGGTGTAGTGGTCTTACAGGTGACTGAATTCTAGTGTTATCTTTGATAATTTCTAGCTGTGTGATCCTGCTCAAGCATTTAAGTGCCTACCAAGTTGTCAAACAGTGCTGGAAGTTGAGAATATAAATTATTTAATCTCTTTGAGGTTCTGCTTCTTGATTAGTAAAATGGGGGTAATATTTGTGCTGTGCCTCTTGATGTTTTTGAGGAAAGTGCTTTGTAATTCTTAAAATGTTCTGCATAGATAGTTAGCATGTCATGGGGTGTAATAAGTTAGATATGATTAGATAAGATCCCAGACTTCATCCTTTTGTGAATCTTTTTAGTAAAGTAAGAATTTTCTTCTACCTTTATTAGGGAATGTATTGATGGTTGACATCTTGCTTAACTGGGATTGGGATTCACTGGAGGTGCGTGTTTTTCTTTTTTCTTCTGCAAATAACCTCAACCCCTTTTGTTACCTTTATCAACCTAAGACCAGAACATTTCTTCTCTCTTCAGACTACACAGTGGAAAATTTGGGCACTTGTGAAGTACCATCGTGAAATGACATTTTGAGGGCTATTTAGGAAAAACAAAAATAGCATGGATCAGTGAAGTTAAATTTTTTCCTTTTATTTGCATTAATAAAATTTAAAAGACCTTTTTTGAGAAAATGTGAATAATCTATTAGGTTCTGCTTAATGTTGTACATCGGCTTCACTTCTCTCATGTTTAATCCTAAGGACTCACAAATGTAAAAGACCTTGAGAATTATTGTTTTTCATGTCCAAATATCAGATTTAGTTCTCAGTTGGATTCTGATTTCTAATAGGACATAGGGTTAGAAAATCTTTTGAAGAATATCACAATGTTTTACTGATTAATCTAAGTGCCATATTATCCTATAGTAGTTTTTTTTAAATTCCTGAAGTATCTTGATGAAGTGGATTTATAATTTGTATGAAGATACAAACATTGTGCTGAGGATATAGTATATGATGTTCTTCATAGAGTTAGAATTGGACAGTATCTCAAAGGTCATCTAAACCAACCCCTTCATTTTAAAGATGAAGACTTAGGAAGGTTGTGACTTGTCCAAGGTCATGCAGATAGTAAGCATCAGAAGTAGATTTGAGCTGAGGTCTTCTGACTCCACAGCCTCCACACAGTATTAACAGAGGTAGACTGAGTGTTATGAATAAACTGGTTCTTATAGAATGATTTTTATGCTTCGCTATGAAATAGACCAGACAGCATCACTATTTTTAATTCTTTGTCTTTCAGATTTGTCCTAATTTTTGTGTGGAAAAGTTATCAAAGTCTTTTAACTCTTAGATCTGAATCTATTTTCTTGCTGTTTCTTGGAATGTTTCTGGTAGGTGATTTTTAGAATGATACAAAAAAAGTTAAATTTTAGTTTCTAATTGTGTGGCAATGTAACAAAGTTAGGTAAGAAATAGTATTCTCTTAACTGTATAATAGTTTCAGTAAGCATTTCAAATGATGTTGAGAAGTGAATTTGACAGCTCTATCAGCTCCAAAAAATTTCCCAGTTAATCATTTATCTCTAAAGAAAATAAAGTAAGTTAATTTCTAACCAGGTACAAGTTCCCTATTGCTGAAATTTTCCCTTTTGAATTGCGTAATCACTTGTATTCATAAACCTCAGTTTTCCTTTGTGGTCAAGCCTAAATAAAAGTATATTTCAGATTGTGGAGTTAGTAAATAATATTTCTAACAAATTGGTAATATTAGAGCATTAAAAATATCTTGATGTTTTGATATGCAAAGCTCTAGTCCAGGTATTCTGGAGAATATAAAGAAATAAAGGGTTTCTGTCCTCAGAGAGCCTGTGACATAGCTGGGAAGATGGAATATAAACGTGCTTTAAAATTCCTGTTATTTAACAAGGAAAAAAATTTAAATAATTATTTAAAATAATGGAAGCAGTATTGCAAGGTAGTAATTGTCAAATTTTGTAGTCACAAAACATTAGAGAAGTCAGAAGAATTTGTCAGGAAAAGCTTTATAAAGAGAGTGGGATCAGAAGTTGATCTTGAAAGAAATGAGATTTGGCTAGGTAAGGGAGAAAGCATTCTAGTGGAATAAAATGAGCAAAAACTTAAAGGAGAAAGATTGAGGTATGTTTGGCAGAGAGTAAGTAAATCATTTTGACTAGAGTGGAGAGTTCAGGAAGCAAATGGACAGTGGGCCTAGAAATGTACTTTGGGGCCAGATTGGCTTGTTTTTTAAGCAGTGGGAAACCATTGAAAAGTAACGTTGTTATTCTTTTGCATTGTGTAGCGAGGGTGATAGGAATAAAATATGTTGTTGGAAAATTTGTTATGTATCCTGGATTGAAAGTCTAGGTAGAAGGGGAGATTGAAGGCAAACTAGTCCATAAGCTGTTGTAATCTAGATGTAACTTAATAAGATTTTGACCTAGGCTGATAACAGGGGAAAAGGAGAAGACAGAAACTAGACAGGGAGTATCATTAAGAGTGGATGGATGTCTTGCTCTTCAGGGATTATGAAATGGAGGAGTAAGAGACTGCTCTTAAGTTTGGGCCCTGGTACATTGGAATGTGGAGTGAGTTTGGTGAGAAAGATGACTTCTCTTTTTGACACATTTAGCTTGAGGTGACAGTAAGGATCTTAGTTAAAATATTCAAGCGATAGAAAGTATATGACCAGAGCTAAGGATAGAAGTCAGGGCTAAAATTTAAAGTGTGGGTTTTGTCTGTATAGTTGTGTTAGTTGTGAAAGTGGTTTTTATATAGAATCGTAGAAGTGTTGTTTCAGATCTCAGAAGGACCTTATAGGTCTAATCTAACCTTGGATTCACCACCTCCACCAAATCCATGCATTTTAAAAATAAAAGGTCGGGGATTAAGAGATTTGTCCATAGTGATATGACTTAACACTAGAAATGTAGTAGTCATGTCAATTGATGCAAAAATGTTTTTAGACATTTGAAGCTCGAAAAGTTGTAGATATTTATGCTTCATGCGTTCTTTTGTATGTTTGTTTTTAGTCAATAAATATTGTCTACTATGTGCCAGACATTGTGCTGAGTGCTGAGGATACAAAGAAAAGTAAAAGTAGGCCCATACCCTTGAGAAGCTCACAATCTAATGGGGGAGCCATTAGGCAAATAACTATGTACAAATAAGCTACATACAGAATAAACTGGAAATAATCAACAGAGGAAGGCTTCCTGTAAAGGGGGAGATTTTTATCTGGGATTTGAAGGAAGCCAGGATGTAGAGGCAAAATTCCTTAGCAGCCTAAAGACTTTTCAGATAACCCAAGAAATTAGATATGTAGTTCCGTGAGGACTAGATGTGTCAAATAATGTAACTATACTTGAAGACTATATTTTGTTCTGTTGGGTCATTTCTTTGTCCATAAAAATCTTTCCTTAAAATATCAGGTGAATTTGTCAAATATTTATAAAAAACCTTGTGAATAATATATTTATAGAGTAAAAATGTTTGCATGTGGTTTCTACTCTTGACACCATTTTTTTTTTTAATTCTGGCTTGTCAGTTTTTCAGAATGTATAGTTTGGTTGTCATAATACTGTAATTTTGTTTGCATCTTTATTGATAAAATATCTAAGA